CCCATTTCAGTTCCCAGTGTTCTTGTCTAAACACGTCGACCCATTTCAGTTCCCAGTGTTCTTGTCTAAACACGTCGACCCATTTCAGTTCCCAGTGTTCTTGTCTAAACACATTTGTTTGATTCAGATTTTACATAATTTTGTTTTGTTTATTTTAATTTCTTGTATTTCAGTTTTAACAATGTAAGGCGATTAATGCATATTATTTTATATTATTTTCAGGTTTCATTTCTACTCTAATTGATATTTATTTGTTAGCTTAGCTCGAGTTATAAATTATAGGTTTAACTGATTCTACGTAATTCAAAAATCTGTTCAATATGACAGTGACTTAAGGAATAGTTTTCAATTTACAACCGGAGTTCTCGACCCAAGGTGGGGATCATAAAAAATATTGCAATAACGGATATTTTAGAGTATCTACAGTAATTTGCTATCACTTTGTGTGTCTGTGTGTGTGTGGGTGGGGGGGATCATTATAGTCCGAAATATTTTCAGAAGGGAATTCAGCAAAAAACTTTGAGAAACTCTGTAATATGTAATTAAAGAGAAAATTATCGCTATTTTAATAAATTGCTTGACTAAATAATTACGTATGAAACTTAAAAACGTTCAGAACATTATAATACATTCTGTACTAGACCGGATTATTACGTATGAAACTTAAAAACGTTCAGAACATTATAATACATACTGTAGTAGACCGGATTATTACGTATGAAACTTAAAAACGTTCAGAACATTATAAAACATTCTGTACTAGACCGGATTATTACATATGAAACTTAAAAACGTTCAGAACATTATAATACATACTGTAGTAGACCGGATTATTACGTATGAAACTTAAAAATATTCAGAACATTATAATACATTCTGTACTAGACCGGATTATTACGTATGCAACTTAAAAATATTCAGAACATTATAATACATTTTGTACTAAACCGGATTATTACTTATGGAGGAGAAAATATTCATAACATTAAATACATTCCCTGTTAAACTGAGTTATTAGTACGCAGCCTATAAATATTCTGGAAAATAGCATACATTCTTCACCAAATTGAATTATTACGTATACAGCCTATAAATATTCAGAACAGTCGCATTATAACGGTTTCTCTAGTAGGACTTATTATTATTATTGTGTAGAAAATAATGCAAAGTTCAGTCCAATTAGTGATAAAGAAAGCTTTTTCTTTTTTGAACTTCAACGTATACAAGTTAGCTTAATTAACGATCGCGTATAGGCGTAAGTTCGTAATACTACACTAGACGTTAACATAAAAATGTTCTCTCCTACGTACCGTACTTTGTCGTACCTGTTTAAACACAAGGTCGATGTTTACAGAACTGAAGTAACAGACAACTGACAACTAAACTATCTAATGCAGCACCATGACTCTCCTACCTTCATCTTATGCAAATCTAAGTGCATATGATTGAATTACGTTTTTCTTAACTTTACTTATAACTTTCATAATAACTATTTTTTGTAACACTATGAACGAGATAACAACACACTAGTAGCCATATTCTATGATAATGGGCATGCTCTGTGAGTTGCCAAGGGAGAAAAAGTCCTCATATCAAGTGCAGGTGCACAATTGCTTATACCCACACGCTACATTATCAACCTGCAGCTGTATCAGCTAGATACAAAAATATGAACTTCATAGATTCTCTAGATCTTGGTTCTAACTGTTACCTAACATTTGAAAGTGAAGTTTTCAGTTCTATACATCTGACTCAAGTGTTCTCTGTTGGACAAAGCAATTCTATCATATGAGTCGGTGCCTAAGACGTGAGGACGAACGCTACCACTGCCGATGTCTGACAAAGCTCGAGTGTTTGCACTGATAACAAGAATAATAAGTTGTATAATTTACCTTTGCATTGTTCTCAAACTAAGTGTGACCTATTGACACCTAAAGTTGTACTTGAAACAGTGCGATTTTTAAAATATATCTTTCAAAGAAAGAAAAGAAGAAAATCTATGTTGATAACCTTGAGAAGTCTTTGTTTCAGCAAAGAGGGCTTTACTGCAAAAATAGGGATAAGGTTAGAAACAGCAATGCTGAATATGTAAAACAAGCCTTAGCCATTAATCCAGCCAAAGAAAAGGCTGCCACCCTGGCTAGATGGAAGAAAAGATATAAGCAAAAGCCAGGAAATGTCGAAAGATAACTCTAAGAAAACCTAAGAGAATGATAGGCCTAGAGCTCAGTCAATCTTCAGACTTAGTACCAAAAGAAAGCTATGAGGCAAATGTAAAAAAAATTAATAAAAAAAATTAGTAAGTAGGAATGGGAACACCAAAAAGCAAGGAAACAAGGTAGGAATGGACAGGATAACATTAACTAAATTTGAACTTTAACTTCGAAGAAGCTTACAAAGAAGGTCTGGTTTATATGTAGTTAGTGTCTAAACCCAGTACCTTAGTTGAGTGAACCTATAGTTAGAAACTAAAAATGTACAGAGTTTCTGAATACACACTTGCTTAAAGGAAGAATTTTGACACCTGGCTCAGAACCATGTTAAATCGAACTTATTATACGTTTTAATATGTATTTGTTCATTACTATTACTATTGTTGTCTTTGTTTGGTTTCATGTGCTACTGATAGTGATTTTCGATTTTCTTAACTGCAGTGTTTAGGTGTTATTTTTTGTTCTTTTACTTTATTAGAGGCTCTTGCATGACAGTTTGTGGTCTTTACATTTATGTTCTAACGCCTATAATGTTTAACCTAAAATCTTGTGTATTTTCATTACACCACTTGAGTTTGTTTCTCCTTAATTTGTCTTTATTTGTGTTTGATTTCTGCTACATACGTTATATAAGTAGTCTACACAAAACTTTCATTATGTGAGTCTATTGACAGAAGAGTAGCTTCTTTATGGTCTAGTGTTTGTGTTTGGTAACATTTGGTCAGTGTGACATGTTTACAAATCATCCTCCCCTTAAGCGTGCGGTAGCACGAGCTACCATATGGGACGCACTTAGCGCTTAACGGCGAAAACCAACTAACACAGGAGTATCACCCGGACTCATTCCTAACGCGACTTCCTTCCGTGCGAGTTGTGTACCATTCAACAGACGGAGTACGAGTGCCCACCACTGCCTCAGTAGCAGAAAATTGTGACAACATTTTAAGCCCCCACAAACTATGGCTGTCATTGTGCATGAGGGGGAATGAATTACACGCTGGTCTATGAAGCGATAGTCGACAGGCGTTCGAGCGAAACGCACACCATTGGTGACCACACCTGTTACCATCTGATACAATAATATTTTATCTTCTCTTTCTACTTCTGTTGAAACAACTTGAAATACTTGTTGTAAACCTCTTTACAATTATTTTATATGTTATTTATGTATATACAGAGAGTTTTATTTTATATTTCATGTTGTCAGTTTATTGTTTGTAGATTTAGTAGCGGGATTTTTTTCTTCAAGGAGATACAATAAACACTTGTCATGCATATAGAGTTTTATGATTCAAGGACACGATGTCATGATAAACTCCAGATGTTGATCAACTCGACAAATAAAATAATAGTATATATAGTTTTATGATTCAAGGACACGGTGTCATGATAAACTCTAGATGTTGATCAACTCGACAAATAAAATAATAGTATATATAGTTTTATGATTCAAGGACATGATGTCATGTATATAGAGTTTTATGATTCAAGGGCACGATGTCATGTATAAATAGTTTTATGATTCAAGGGCACGATGTCATGTATATAGAGTTTTATGATTCAAGGGCAGGATGTCATGATAAACTCCAGATGTTGATCAACTCGACAAATAAAATAATAGTATATATAGTTTTATGATTCAAGGACACGATGTCATGATAAACTCCAGATGTTGATCAACTCGACAAATAAAATAATAGTATATATAGTTTTATGATTCAAGGACACGATGTCATGATAAACTCCAGATGTTGATCAACTCGACAAATAAAATAATAGTATATATAGTTTTATGATTCAAGGACGCGATGTTATGTATATATAGTTTTATGATTCAAGGACACGAATGTCATGTATAAATAGTTTTATGATTCAAGGGCACGATGTCATGTATATAGAGTTTTATGATTCAAGGGCACGATGTCATGATAAACTCCAGATGTTGATCAACTCGACAAATAAAATAATAGTATATATAGTTTTATGATTCAAGGACACGATGTCATGATAAACTCCAGATGTTGATCAACTCGACAAATAAAATAGTATGCATGTATATTTATTTCTAACTTATATGAATTAAAATTTGCTGGTGCATTATAGTGAGAATATTACATCTGGCTGATGGACGCAGGTGAACCTCAACTGGTGATTTCAGTTGAAAATTATTTTATAAAACCAATAACCCTGAAAATACCTTCTGTCCTTTCAGCCTATTGCATATGAAGGTCAAGATAAGAATCCAGAGATGAGAAGGGTCCTCCTTACGCACGAGGTCATGTGCAGGTAAGAATGAATAGTACATTGCATTTTGCATCTTTATAAATTTGTATAGTTTATGTTAAATAATGTGTTTGTTACGAGGTCATGTCGTATGTGTTCACGTTGATTCAGAATAACAATGGTTTGTTCCGAAATCACGAACGGAAAAAGATAAATAGAAAAGCAAATGTGTGAAGAAATAACAAGGTTGCGCATAAATTTAATTCAAATTGCTATAAAATTAGAAAACTGTAAATTTGAAGATTTCTTAATAGATCTGACTTAAAGTTTAATCTCCCAAAAGCCAGTCATTCTTGCTATAGTATATTCATAATAGATCTGACTTAAAGTTTAATCTCCCAAAAGCCAGTCATCCTTGCTATAGTATATTCTTAATAGATCTGACTTAAAGTTTAATCTCCCAAAAGCCAGTCATCCTTGCTATAGTATATTCTTAATAGATCTGACTTAAAGTTTAATCTCCAAAAAGCCAGTCATCCTTGCTATAGTATATTCTTAATAGATCTGACTTAAAGTTTAATCTCCAAAAAGCCAGTCATCCTTGCTATAGTATATTCTTAATAGATCTGACTTAAAGTTTAATCTCCAAAAAGCCAGTCATCCTTGCTATAGTCTATTTTGCACTGTTGTTTTAAGGTTGCATACGTAGCCATATACAGTAAATCGAACCTTTAACTGTTTACCGATTGTTTCTCCAGCCGTTGCTGTGAGAAGAAAAGCTGTGGCAACAGGAATGAAACACCGTCGGATCCAGTACTTATTGACAGGTAATTTCACATTATTTTATAATAGCGTAAAATGCAGTAATAAGTTGCACTAAAAATTATATATAATTTGATATGAAACGATATCTGACAATCATGTCTGTGCTGTTACACAACAAACAAAGTAATTACTTCAAAGCAGTAAGTTCAGCTTGAGAGGAGTATTCTTCTAGATCACGAGCTCATTCGTTGAATATTTTGTCTTAATAAACACTAACCAACAGAAAACCAGTCATAAAAAAATAACTTTTCTCATCAATCATAGAAAAGTATTAGCACTCACGGTTGTACTGACATATAGTTTATCTAGAAATATATCAAAAGATCTATGATAACTGAAGGGTCATTCTAGAATAGTTATCAAAGTAACAAGTCGCGTGACGTACTGGTGGCTGATTGATCAACAAATTTTCAGCCAATAAAACTCCTTTTCTCAAATTCTAGGCTTAGCTCGTGGCATATATAGAGCAGCGCATGTCTTCTGAAATTGTTTGATGAATGTAATGGATAGTAGCCGCTGCAGTATTCAAATCTTTTGATGAAAGCACGTGACGTGCACGCATACTTGTATGCTGCCGCGCGAGTAGCTTTTGAGTAATCGCTGATCCTGGCTTCAGATACTGTAAGGCCAGCTTTCTATGCACAATAAGTACTGCAAAGGGCGGCAGATGTTCTAATCAGGAAATCGTTTTCCTTTTCCTTCAAATTCAATGATAGGCCAACTCGAGCGCTATTTCCTAGCTTTTACGTCTGTTTAATAAGTGCACCCCTCTTGTATTTCATAGAAACGTCTTTTTTAAATACGAGGAGAGATCTTATCCAATTAATTATGTGAGCTGCATATTTCCATTGATCTCGTATAGAAATTCATAAAATCTGGGGTTTAAAATACGTTTCATTTGACAAAACAAAGAAACATAAAATACACCAAATTATAAAACAAAGTAAATTTTAAATGAAACTGGATGTTAATTTTTGAAAATTTCATAGCACAAATTTCAGTATTCTGTACCGTGACATTTATATCAGAGTATATTTTATATATTCTTTATATTTCGCAGAAAAAGTAGTTTCATTTCAACCCTACCCAGTTTTATTCATACGGTGTTTAACAAAATAATTAGAATCGTTAACATACGGCGCTATCAAACAAAGACAGTCCATTACGTTGTTATCAAACAAAGACAGTCCATTACGTTGTTATTAAATAATTTTAAACGTATTATTTATATATTTGTATGCCTTCGTTTATTCCTATTGGAAGGAAAAGTTAGGTTAGTACAGGTGCTAGTAATTTATTTTATGTCACGCGTTCACGTGCATAAAGTTATTAGTTATGTGTTATTATTACAACCAGTGTTTCGCCCAATAATACAGTCATATAAACTTTTTCAATTTACTTTTGTTATACTCATTTGAGTTTATTAGTAAATTTGTAATAACTTAACTATATTTATTCGTAATGATTCACGAATATTTAATCGCTATAGTGCTTTTCATACATAATTAAAACAAAGCCACGTAGACAGAACTTAGTGTACATCACAGGCGGTCGGGCGAAATTGACGTCTGACATCAGTAAGTGACTCATGGAATAACCGCAAAGCACCTGTTAGGCTTAGAAATAACCCCGTGGGACTGCGGTACTCATCTCTGCCTTTGGCCCGTCAAGTAAACAGCCGCTGGGAAACTGTGCGGAACTCTTATTTCTCGACATAATATCATGTTTGCCCCTTCTGTTATTTCCTGCTCAAAGCTTTGAGGTTTTGATCTAGTTGAGTAATTGCCCGCTTGGACTAATTGTGTATATTATAATAAAATGTCTACTTTTGAATATAATGTGTACCATATTCATAGCTAACTAAGTTATTATTAATAGTTACTGTAAGAAGAAGAAGAACTCTTATGATTCGTTGAGCATCATAAAGCTATGCTTCTTTTTATCTCAGCCAGTCAACATGTAACACATAATATTGCCCGTGACTGGATATACAGAAGTACCCGATACTTATGTAATAGATTCCTACTTAAAAATGCACCGAGCGGGAAGAGTAGTTCGTGTTCAACTTGCCTAGAGAGAACACTTAAAACAATTTCGGTTTCACATATAACGTAAAGCGGAGATCACAGTAATATAGTCATTGTCTGTGTATAACATACAAGCTTTTGTAAGAGGTAAACGGGAAGAAAAAGAGAGGGGAGTTGTAATAGCTATTTAAATTTTTATACTACTTTATATTAAAGGTTTAGCACCACACATTAAAGAATTATATATTTTTATGTTTGGATTTTTTTCGTAAGTAATGATTAATGATAAATGTACTAATTTAAAAATATTGTTGCTATTATTCTGCATAAAGAATTCCGAACATTTGAAGCAAAGTATGAAAATTATCGTTAGTATACAATTTTCATGTTAAAAAAGCCGATGTACGTATAATATATAACTATATTTTCCAAATACATTACTATATACATTGTATGTGTGTGTGTATAAACGTAACATGACAATGGAAATGTTTAGGTCCATTTCAATAGTTAAAATAATTTTCGCTCTATCTAAGTGATAAATTATCAGATGATGAAATATTGATATCTATTTATGTTAATAACTGTTGCTCAAAACGTTTACCAGTTAGTATCTTATTGCATGTTAGACCTGACTTGGCTCTAGTGATTATCGTGTTGCACTACGGATTGACGTCATGCTGCTCCACACTTGTATTCTGTCGTTCGTTTCGAAGAGCCTTACAAAACCCTTCATGGCGACATGGTGCTTCTAGCTGGCTACCTTCCTTTTACTTAGTAGTTCAAAATTAGACAGCTATAATAAAACGTTAGACCTGGCTGTTTAACCCACGTGCACATGAGGACCAATTTAGGTTGAAAACTCCAATATCAAGGCTTGAGAGTAAAAAATAAATAACGAAGAAGTTTATGTAAGCAATTATATCAAGATCACTACTATTGGGTTATATAAAAAGTACTAAATTAAACACAATAAGTCTAGATATTTCTTCGATAAATGTAACAAAATTCCAGTTTTAACAAATTTCTTGGTTGAAATTTCAAAGAATAATCGTATTAAGAAATTAATTAATTAAGTAAATTACGAGTTATAAAATTTACTGCGAACATTTATAATTTTGTAAATATGCCGTGAGCTAGCTGGGCGTTAACCAGTTTATGAACTTATTAACATAACACAAAAGGAGCTCCTATGTTGTTTTATGAATACTTGAAACTATCAGAAAGTATGTTTAACATATGACTCCTGGACTCTTCTGGAGAGTTGTGTTTTATGTTTCCGTTAGACCAGGTATAGTGTCAGTTATGGAAACAAACGTGTATTTTTTGAGGACGCTGAACATTACAACTAAACCACAGTGTTAAAAAACGAACGAGAAATTAAGTTGTTGTCTTTTCAGTGCAAAGATATACAATGGGCTATCCGCGGGGAATTAAACCTAGAATTTTAGCGTTGTAAGACTGTAAACATACTGCTGACCCACCGGTGGACGTTGAACTAACTGCTTAGTATCATGAATAAGACAAATAGATTAGAAGAGCATAGCATATCTTATTAAACTTAGCCAAATAGCCGAAAAGATTAACGCATTGCTCGCACTATTGAAAACAAAAAGTTACCAAATAAACTTCTTTAGTTTTTCAACTTAATGAAACATTGTTAACAGTATAATTAATAATTGTAAGTATAATTAATTAGTTACTGATTGCCAGGTTGGTTTATAGTTTCGCTCTAACTAGGTAGCTTTTTTTCTTCTAGAAACTTGTATAGGTTCATGTGTGTCAATTAAGAACTAAAAACCCGAATTTAAGACTCTTTGTACATAACGCTTTTACTTAAAATACTGCACGTTGTGTAACTATTCATGGAAATGTAGACGAAAACTAAATTTCTTATATATCAAATGTAATTTACTAAAATGGTTTTAAAGTTACCGTTTTGAATGTCACATCAAGCGAAACATTGTTAACCAGTTGGCCTAATATTCATGACTAATGTAATTTACTAAAATGGTTTTAAAGTTACGGTTTTGAATGTCAAATCTGACGAAACATTGTTAACCAGTTGGCATACTATTCATGACTAATGTAATTTACTAAAATGGTTTTAAAGTTACGGTTTTGAATGTCAAATCTGACGAAACATTGCTAACCAGTTGGCATACTATTCATGGCTAATTTAATTTACTAAAATGGTTTTCAAGTTACCGTTTTGAATGTCAAATCTGACGAAACATTGTTAACCAGTTGGCATAATATTCACGACTAATGTAATTTACTAAAATGGTTTTCAAGTTACCGTTTTGAATGTCAAATCTGACGAAACATTGTTAACCAGTTGGCCTAATATTCATTACTAATGTAATTTACTAAAATGTTTTAAAGTTACGGTTTTGAATGTCAAATCTGACGAAACATTGTCAACCAGTTGGCCTAATATTCATTACTAATGTAATTTACTAACATGGTTTTAAAGTTACGGTTTTGAATGTCAAATCTGACAAAACATTGTTAACCAGTTGGCATACTATTCATGACTAATGTACAAAGGCTTTACGGAATGCTATGCACGTGTTAGAAACTATTTTGAAGGGTAAGAAACTCTTGCACAAAAATGTCCCCTTGTTTTATTTGTTTACTAGCTGAGTTACCCGGCGTTGCCCGGTGAAAATTTAGATTTGAAATGTATAGATCAGTATTTTTTTTTCAGCAAATTATTCAGTAAGTACACAAAAGCTGTGATGCGAGAAATAAAAAAACATTTAATCAAACAAAGCTTTATTTGAAATTAGATCGTGCTTGAGCTTATCTTGTTCTTTGAGTCTGAAGTCGTACATCATGTTGTTCTTCTGTTTCTTGCTCTCTGTAAGTTATTTGTCTTAATTTTTGTGCTTGAAGTCTGGTTTGACGTTATTCAGAAGTTTCTTGTTGTCGAAATCCAGCTTGCCTTGATGATTCTGACTGAACTCTGGCTTTGTG